TCTCGAACCGAACCGTGAGATCACGGCATGAGCCGAAGTCAGATGCTTAACCGACTGAACCACCCAGTCAGTCTGGAGAGAGAGAGAATATTAAGCAGGTTCCACACTCAGGGCAGAGCCCTACTCGGACTCAGTCCTACCACCCTGGGATCATGACCTGAGCCAAAATCAAGAATTGAACATTTAACGGACTGAGCCACAGAGGTCCCCCAGCACGTGGGTTTTAAAGCACAGTTAGGGCTTATAGCACAATTTCACTTATAACTTTCCCTATTTCCTTATTTTTCTCTTGACCAAAAAAGCTTTTAAATTTACTTTTCCTGTTTGCAGAACTACCTGTTTTTATCTCTTTTATTTTTTTTAACTTTTTAATTTAAAGCAAAATTTTTTTGAGTTTATTTATGAGAGAGAGAGAGAGGGAGGGAGACAGCATGAGTGGGGGAGGGGCAGAGAGACAGGGAGACAGAATCCGAAGGATGCTCCAGGCTCTGAATTGTCAGCACAGAGCCCGACACGGGGCACGAACTCACAAACCATGAGACCATGACTTAAGCCGAGGTCGAACGTTTAACTGACTGAGCCACCCAGGAGCCCCTATCTCTTTTATTAAAAAGAATTTACTGGGGCGCCTGGGTGGCGCAGTCAGTTAAGCGTCCGACTTCAGCCAGGTCACGATCTCGCGGTCCGTGAGTTCGAGCCCCGCGTCGGGCTCTGGGCTGACGGCTCAGAGCCTGGAGCCTGTTTCCGATTCTGTGTCTCCCTCTCTCTCTGCCCCTGCCCCGTTCATGCTCTGTCTCTCTCTGTCCCAAAAATAAATAAACGTCGAAAAAAAAAAAAAAAAGAATTTACCTTAATAAGAATAAGGCATACTATATACGGTCATCCTAAAAGATATTTAAAAAAATTTTTTTTAGTGTTTATTTATTTTTGAAGGAAAGAAAGAGTGTGAACGGGGAGGAGCAGAGAGAGGGGGAGACACCGAATCCGAAGCAGGCTCCAGGCTCTGAGCCGTCAGCACAGAGCCCGACGCGGGGCTTGAACTCATGTACCGTGAGATCATGACCTGAGCCAAAGTCGGATGCTTATCCGACTCAGCCATCCAGGCGCCCCCTAAACAATATTTAAAACCACAGTGTTATTGAAAGCTTTGTAAATTTTTTTTTCAATTTACAACACATAATTAAGTTGTATTGACACAGAACAATGACATAATACATTTTCTTTGTGGCTTAAAAAGAATGTATGTGTTAGGCAAGAATGCACAGCTGAGGCATGGGTGAGGACGGTATGATACCTGAGTATTTTTATTTTCCTTTTTGGCCTAAACACCTTTGAGTTCAGGGTTTGGGTCCAATGAATGTTCCATTTCCTAGTTATCTTAAAAAGAAGCTCTAGGATTGCCTGGGTGCCTTGGGTGGCTGTCACTTAAGTGTCCAATTTTTTTTTTTTTTCTTGAGAGAGAGAGAGAGAAAACATGAGGGGGGAGTGGGGGGCGCAGAGAGAGAAGGAGACAGAGAATCCCAAGCAGGCCCCGTGCTGTCAGTGCAAAGTCTGATTTGGGGATCGAGCTCACAAACTATGAGATCATGACCTGAGCCAAAGTCAAGAGTAGGACACTTAACTGACTGAGCCCCCCAGGCGCCCCGTGTCCAACTCTTGATTTTGGCTCAGGTCATGATCTCACAGTTTGTGAGCTCGATCCCCGAATCGGACTTTGTACTGACAGCACCGGGCCTGCTTGGGATTCTCCCTCTGTCCCCCTCTCTCTCTGTCCCTCCCCCCAAAAAATAAATGTAAAAAAAATTGAAAGTTTAACTTGCCCTTAGGAGAGCTAAGGGAGATCTATAGTAATTTAGATAGAACTTTATGTGATTAAAAAAAAAATTTTTTTTTAATGTTTATTTATTTTTGAGACAGAGAGAGACAGAGCATGAACGGGGGAGGGTCAGAGAGAGAGACACAGAATCTGAAGCAGGCTCCAGGCTCTGAGCTATCAGCACAGAGCCTGACACGGGGCTCGAACCCACGTCGGTCGCTTAACCGACTGAGCCACCCAGGCGCCCCGAACTTTATGTGATTAATAAAGAAATCTAGGGGCGCCTGGGTGGCGCAGTCGGTTAAGCGTCCAACTTCAGCTCAGGTCACGATCTCGCGGTCCGGGAGTTCGAGCCCCGCGTCGGGCTCTGGGCTGACGGCTCGGAGCCTGGAGCCTGTTTCCGATGCTGTGTCTCCCTCTCTCTCTGCCGCTCCCCCGTTCATGCTCTGTCTCTCTCTGTCCCAAAAATCAATAAACGTTGAAAAAAAAAATTAAAAAAAACAAAACAACAAAAAAAAAACCCACTGTTGTGAACCAAGGGCGTCTTCAAGAATTCTTTCTTGGCCATCGGCTCCGGACCCCACCGTCACCCCAAAAACCTCATCACTTTCTCTTCCCTTTGGCCAAATGTCGTGTAGGCCCACCTCAACTGCCCTACCCGTTAGCTTCCTAGTAGGCCCTGCCCCCTCCAGGCTTAGGCACTGGGCCTCCACGTTGTTGCCATAGTTACCTTCACACACAATCATGTTGCCTCTTTGAAAACCATCAACATGCCCCCCCCCCACTTTTGTGTCTCTTCTTCCCCAGGCCTCCCCTCAACTATAAGTGCCCTCTCCTCAAGCCACTCTGGCTGGTAACCACACTGATCCCAATGAGGGAGGCCTTTCGTTTTATTCTTGAGTCTTAACAACTTCAGCTACCTTTAGAGGGTTGTGCTTGCTGCCGATGGGAGGAAATTGAGGGCTCCAGATCTCTTGAAGGAGGGCGATAGGATTTCCCCATTCCAGATAAGCTTCCCCAAGTGGCAGCTGTGACTCCTCATGTTCAATATTCTTTTTTTTTTTTTTCTTTCCTTCATGTTTGAGAGAGTGAGAGAGAGAGGCCGAGAGAGGGGGAGACAGAATCTGAAGCCGGCTCCAGGCTCTGAGGTGTCAGCACAGAGCCCGATGCGGGGCTCAAACTCCCAAACCACAAGATCACGACCTGAGCCAACGTTGGACGCTTAGCCAATTGAGCCACCCAGGTGCCCCATCACCCTCAATATTCTTGATCACCTTTAAAGAAAGCACGCTTTGATGAGGTTTGGGAGTGATGGTGGCGTCTAAAAAAGAATTCTTGACTCGTCTTTGGTGCAAAGAGGTGATTTTATGAAATCACAGGGACAGGACCTGTGGACAGAAAGAGCTGCACTGGGGTTGTGAAAAGTGACTGATTATACACAAGGGAATTGAAGAGGGGGGAGGGTAAGGAAAAAAGGCCTCCAAAAGGACTTTGACATGTGTCTAAGAGGACTCTTAAGATATTGGAGTCCTAGGGGCGCCTGGGTGGCGCAGTCGGTTAAGCGTCCGACTTCAGCCAGGTCACGATCTCGCGGTGCGGGAGTTCGAGCCCCGCGTCGGGCTCTGGGCTGACGGCTCGGAGCCTGGAGCCTGTTTCCGATTCTGTGTCTCCCTCTCTCTCTGCCCCTCCCCCGTTCATGCTCTGTCTCTCTCTGTCCCAAAAATAAATAAACGTTGAAAAAAAAATTTTTTAAGATATTGGAGTCCTAGCTATTGTTAAGTTATGGTTGTTTTTCCCTTTAGCAAAGCATTAACATTAAGACCGTAGGGGGTTCCTGGAAAAACTTTTTACTCTGCCTGCCTCAAGTATTTGCCAAGGGGCTGCAGGTTATAAAGGAATTTAATTTTATCTGCCATTTCCTTCTGCCCTATTCCCCACATCACTAGGGAGGGGAGGGTGATGTTAGCGGTCCTGGAAACTGAGTGTATACATTTCTGGAGGCTAGGCTATTAATTAGATTGCTTTATCTTGAAATTTACTAACACGTTGGTAAACTGATGGACACACATGTCCTGCAGGACTGTGATCTCATCAGTTAACCATTTGTTTTCTTTCCTTTCCTTTGTTCTTAGGCAGCCAGGAGTGCCTGAGGAATGTCACACACATCCCATCTGGTGGGGGGGGGGGGGGGGCGGCGGGGTTTAGCTTGTGCTTATGGCCCCTCAACTTCACAAACACAAGCGTGAACTTTCCGCTGGAGACAGCAGGTTAATTTGCTTTGAGTAAAGGCTAATTCTTCTCTCACCAAGGTTTTTCTCCCTATGGAAACAAAGGAATCCTTTCTCATTATTACCCTAAGACCTAAGGTTGTCTTGTCTGCCTCCCTGGGTGACAGATGGCTGGTTGCATTGCACTCGCTGGATTCAAGTCCCCTTTGATAAGTGTCTGAGGGGACCTGTTTCTGCCCATTTATCCGGCCACCTGAATGAATGTCCAGTTAGTCCAGGTGGGGTCGGAGGTGTGGGCAGGTTCACCTTCCAAGGGGTGCTGGACAGGGCAAGGCAGGGAGTCATGATCAATAGCGGAAGAAGGGGGCCAACGACTGACTACACCTGCTCCACAATCATGCCCTACTTCGGGGGAAGTCTTTGTACCGCAAGCCATAAACATTCGCGTAAAATGAAGCTTGCATTCCTGATCTGCATATAGCTCTGGTACAGGTGCCCTCATGGCCCCAAAGCGTGCCCTCGGCCGCCTGCAGGATGAGCAAGGAACGGTGGAGACCATGGGTGGCCACGCCCATCGGAGGATGGGGTGCGACCCGACGTCACAAGGTGGGCACGCTGAGTCCGCGGACCTCACGTGCCGAAGGGCTTCCAGTCCATCAAACACAGACGACTCTGGGTCAGGGCCAGGGACGTCCAGGGTACGGTCTGAGGCCGGTGCACCTGGGAAAGAGACGCGAGCAGAAGCCGCGCCCGCCCTCCGCAGACAAGGACACGGCAACACCCTCTTCGGCGGCCACGCGCGCGTCCAGCCCCCGGCGGCACCGGCGCGAACAGCTCCGCCTGTGATTGGCAGCTCCTCGGGGGCGTGGCCTCGGCGCGCGCAGCCCGGCGGCCCCTGACCCGCTCCGCCCACTCCCGTCCCTGCCTGTGATTGGTGCCTTCGGCCCAGGGGGCGGGCCGTCAGCCGGTGGTGCGCGCACGGCTGTCGTGTCAGTCCTGGAGCGACCTCTGCCTGGCCAGGCCCGCCCCCGCGTGTCACAGTCATGGCGGCCTCTCTTCTGCTGCGGCAAGGACGATCGGGGGCAATGAAGGTAAAGGGAGCCGGGCCGGCGGCCGGGAGCCCGCGTAGGGCCGGGGCGAGGGGCACCTCCAGCCGTACGGGTGGGCCCATGACGCGGTTCCAGGGTGGAAGAGAGGGCGCTGGGCCGGAGCAGGTGGCCGCGGGCCGTGGGGCGGGGCGCGGCGAACGGACACTGACCCCGATCTCCTGGGGAGCCCCCGGCGTGCGGTGCCAAGGTCGCGGGCAGGTGCGAGGGCTCCCAGGTGTCCTGCGCCGCCGCGCTCGCTCCGAGACGTTGAGGACCGCGTCTTGACCTCTTACGTAGCCGGGAGGGGAGAGGAGGGGACTCTGAGGTACCTGGGTGACCCGGTAACTTACTTGGCAGCCACTAAGATGCCCGCTTACATGATCCTGTCTGGGAAAAGAGAGGAAGACAGAGGGCTTTCTTTTTACGTGTAGAAAAAATGTGAGATCATTGCCCTGCGTTTAAATTTGCCAAAGTCTCTTACAAAAGCACTTCCTATTCATTGCGAGATAGAGCGTACAGATGGGGGGGGGATCTGTTTCCGAGAGTCCACCATTTCGTCCTTGAAACACCTGGTTCCAAATAATTTTTTCAGCTTTCACACGTACTTATAGTCATAAACATAAAAAGATATATTTTACCTTCGTTTATGTAGGAGAGGCACCTTTGTTCTGTATGCAGCTTCTAGAAAAGCGCCTAGCACATAGCAGCTGTTAGTAAATACATGTTGAGTGAATTATCAGTTTAGGTTTGCCATTTATGATACATTGTATGTGGTTTTGAAGCAGTTATCCACCTGCATCATTACTAACAGCCAGATAGTATTTATTCTTTTTATTTTTTAATTTTTTTTAATGCTTGTGTATTTCTGAGAGATAGAGAGAGAGAGAGAGCAAGCAGGGGAGCGGCAGATAGAGAGGGAGACACAGAATCCGAAGCAGGCTCCAGGCTCTGAGCCGTCAGCACAGAGCCCGACAGGGCTTAAACTCACAAACCGTGAGATCATGACCTGAGCCCAAGTCAGATGCTTAACTGACTGAGCCACCCAGGCTCCCAGGTAGTATTTCTTCTAGTTGGCGTTCTAAGTATAGGAAAACACTTTATTAACAAAAAGAACCAGAGTATTTGGTAGGTTAAATAGTAGGTGGGGGCTACAAAAAGTATGCACAGGAGAAACTGTTTTTGACTTTTCTTGGAGTTACATAGTTCATAGTGACTGTCATGTGTTTTCTTTCTTGCAACTTTTTTTGTATTTTCCAAAATTTCCATGTTATGAAAATTGTAATAACCGTTAGAAATATAACATGAATGCTATGTTATAACACGTTATATAGTACATTAGCATGTAATGATATATAACGTCTGTAGGTCGTAATAGCTTCCAAATGGCATGACTCTAAAATGTCCATATTTGTTCATCCTTCTGTCAGACTATGCTCCTAGACGCACGAGTGTTTCGAGGACTTGCTCCCTCAGTGTCTCTCTCTGCGGAATCAGGGAAGAGCGAAAAGGGACTGCCACCAAATCCCAAGAAGCAAAGTCCACCAAAAAGTAAGATTTTAATGATAGTCCCAAGGGGAGAATAATGCAAAGTAAACAAATCAGTCCGCTTTCCAGGCGTGAAGAGTTTTACTAACCACATAATTCGATTCTTCATCTCCAGCCGTGTCCAGATTGTAATCCGACATCGGATCTGTGGCAGATTTTAGACCAAACACATCACTAATGCAACAGCCCTTGACTCAGCATTTAGCCCTGAACCAGTTCTGTCTGTGTTTTCTAAGTGCTGTGCTCTGATGTGTGGCAAGGGGACGTTTGGATGGCCCTGATACAGATGCTGTGCTCCTGTGGCAGCCCTGAGCCCCACCTTGCTTTTCTCTCCCCCAGTTGTGACGCTTCTCAGTGTCTCAGAGACACAGATCGGCTTCCCAGGCTTCATGGGCCACCGTCCAGACTGCGGGCCTCCTTTCATGACCGTGGGGAGGGAGTTAAGAGCAGGAACTGTTTTCCATTACTGCTCACTTTGATGAAGCACGATGTGTGATCTCTGTCCGGCTTTGTCCAGAGTCATTTTGACTTTTATTGCTGGATTTTACTTTTTTTTTTCTCCTTCCTGAATACCAGCGAAGCATATCCTCATGGAAGGAAAATACAATGTGCGACACTATTTTAAATACTTGTGGGAATTTTACTTTCTACTCCCTGCTCCTTATTAATGACTGACCATAGGGGGCGCCTGGCTGGCTCAGTCAGCGGAACCTGGGATTCTGTCTCAAGATTGTGAGTTCAAGTCCCGCGTTGGGTGTAGAGTTGATTTAAAAATAAAATCTTAGGGCGCCTGGGTGGCTCAGTTGCTTAAGCGTCTGACTTTGGCTCAGGTCGTGATCTCACGGTTCGTGGGTTCGAGCCCCACGTCGGGGTCTGTGCTGACAGCTCGGAGCCTGGAGCCCGCTTCAGATTCTGTGTCTTCCTCTCTTTCTCTCTCTCTCTCTCTCTCTCACTTTCTCAAAAATAAACACGAGGGGTGCCTGGGTGGTGCAGTCGGTTAAGCATCCGACTTCAGCCAGGTCACGATCTCGCGGTCCGAGAGTTCGAGCCCCGCGTCAGGCTCTGGGCTGATGGCTCGGAGCCTGGAGCCTGTTTCTGATTCTGTGTCTCCCTCTCTCTCTGCCCCTCCCCCGTTCATGCTCTGTCTCTCTCTGTCCCAAAAAATTAAATAAACATTGAAAAAAAAAATTTAACAACAAAAAAAAATAATAAACACGAAAAAAAATTTTTTTTCTGGGGCAGCTGGGGGGCTTAGCTGGTCAAGTATCTCACTCTTGGTTTCAGCTCAGGTCGTGATCTCGCAATTCGTGAGTTTGAGCCCCACGTTGGGCTCTGCGCTGATGAAATGGAGCCCGCTTGGGATTCCTCTCTCCTGGGATTCCTCTCTCCTGGGGTTCCTCTCTCCTGGGGTTCCTCTCTCCCTTTCTCTTTACCCTCCCCAGCGCTCTCTCTCTCTCTCTCTCTCGCACATGCTTTCTCAAAAAATAAATATAATTTAAAAAACTAATGTGAACAGCCAGAATGTCAGTTAAATTCTGCATTACACATAGCACATTTTTGACATTCTTTCAATGTTTACTGATGATTAGTGAACCTCATTGCTAATGTTATTGATGCCTTTGGTGATTCTTAGTCTTGTTTCTGCAATCCTACATCATAGGTTTTTGAAGCTGACTTAATGGATTTTAAAATATTGTGGCAGAGTCAAAGATTCCCCCCCCCTTTTTCTAATGTTTATATATATTTTTTTAATTTTTTTAATCTTTATTTTTGAGAGAGAGAGAGAGAGAGAGAGACAGTGTGAGTGGGGGAGGAACAGAGAGAGGGAGACACAGAATCCGAAGCAGGCTGCAGGCTCCGAGCTGTCAGCACAGAGCCTGATGTGGGGCTTGAACCCATGAACTGTGAGATCATGACCTGAGCTGAAGTCGGACGCTTAACTGACTGAGCCACCCAGGCACCCCAATGTTTATATATTTTTGAGAGAGACAGAGCTCGAGCGGGGGAGAGGGGGGCACAGAGAGAGGGAGACACAGAATCCGAAGCAGCCTCCAGGCTCTGAGCTGTCAGCACAGAGCCCGATGTAGGGCTTGAACCCACGGACCGTGAGATCATGACCTGAGCTGAAGTCGGACGCTTTACCAACTGAGCCACCCAGGCGTCCCCAAAGATCCTTTTTTAAACATGCTTCTATGTGTGAGTAGAATAGGGTGCTTGTTTATGTAACAGTTTTAGGCGCAGTTATGAGCAGGGAACATTGACCTAGGAGTTGGCCCTGGGCCTGTGTAGTTTGGTCATCAGTCTGGATGAGGTTTTCCCTGCCTGAGTGGGGTCAGCGCGCAGGCCGTGCTAGGCCCCTGTGAGGGGGATATATGTGTGCGGTGTCGACTGAGTGTAGAGTGCTTTCAGGTGGGAAGACAGTATTGTGGACTACGCTGTCTTTAATTCGTGTGAGATCTGTGTATAATCTAAAAGTACTTATAATCCCTGTATGAAGAAAAGGAATTTCTAAACCGACATGTACAGGCCTCAGTGTTTGCCCGAGATGTCAGTGCTCATGAGACTGGTCAAGCGAAAAATGCGGAAATGCTTTCTGCCTGCTGGTGGCCCGTCAATGCCCCAGGTTAAAGCCCTGTCTGCTCTCACTGGCTTTGGGAGCTTTAACGGCAGTTTCCCGCATGCAGATCTGGCCCTGTGCGCTCACCCTTGGGGTCCCATCTCTAGGCAAGGTGCCTGCCTCAGAGGCAGGACCCCGGGGTTCCAGACGACGTTCTGCCCTATTCCTTCTGGGACTCCAGCTTCTCGTAGTGCTTGCCTCCTTCCCGAGGAGAGCCACCAACGCAGATGTCAGGGCCCAGGGTCTCCTCACAGGTGCCCCTCCAGACGGTCCGCTCAGTCCAGCCACTGTGGCAACAATCGGTACTAAGTCATCGACTCCTGTGCCGCCTTTTCAAGGGTCTGTCCAGAGGCCACAGTTAATGATTCCTTTCAAGTCCTCATTTCAGTCTGAAGGGTGAGGAATCTCTGGAAATAGGGATTTGTTGTGTTTACTTCTAACCAGCAGAGCCCGGCATACGTTGTCCCGTCTGGTCCGCACAACCCGTGAGCAGGCGGTACTCGTCTCCCTGCCTTAGAGGAGAGAGCGGAGGAGGGAAGAGGCCTGTGAGCTGCCCAAGGCCACACGTGTGTTAGGAGTGGAGCCGGATGTAAACCCGGGCAGGAAGGCCCCGCCATCTGTAGTTTTCTTCTCCGTGCTGTCCTGCCTCTGAGGAAATCTCAGTCCTCAGACAAGCAAGCAGACAAGCAACTCTGTAGTCCTATACAGGGAAAAGAGCTTTAGTTCACATAAAATTTGAGTGACTGTGCTCCTTCCTGTTGTGTCGAAACGTGCTTTGTTTCCGAGATTGGTTTTGTGACCCAGTGACGAGATCTGGAAGAATTTTTTTTTAACTTTTTTTTTTTTTTTTTTAACGTTTATTTATTATTGAGAGACAGAGCGTGAACAGAGAAGGGGCAGAGAGAGAGGGAGACACAGAATCGGAAGCAGGCTCTGAGCTGTCAGCACAGAGCCCGACGCGGGGCTCGAACTCACAAACTGCAAGATCGTGACCTGAGCCAAAGTCGGACGCTTAACCGCCTGAGCCATCCAGGCGCCCCAGAATTTTTTTTTTTTTTTAATTTTTTTAAATGTTTACTTTTGACAGAGAGAGAGAGAGACACGGAGTGTGAGCAGGGGAGGGGTAGAAAGAGAGGGAGACACAGAATCGGAAGCAGGATCTCGGCTCAGCTGTCAGCACAGAGCCTGACATGGGGCTCGGACCCACAAACCATGAGATCATGACCTGAGCCACAGTCAGACGCCCAGCCGACTGAGCCACCCGGGCGCCCCAAGATCTGGAAGAATACTAAGGTGGCTAATCCATTTCAAACACCATCGTCATTTGTGCCTGTGTGAGGGAGACCACCAGAAACGTGTAGGTCATGGCCTCACTTTTCGCCCCAGCAGAAAAGAGACCTGGGAAATACAGCTAAGTTCAGTTGGAGAGGAGGTGGAGACGCAGTACAGCTTCTCCGTCTGCACGGTTAGCAGTGTTTGTGCGCCTTTACCGTGCACAGGCCATGGTCATTTATCCGTCCTCCGGCAGAGTAGACACAGCCCCGGAGGTCGCCGTCTTGTGCTGTGAGATGTGCCTGCGTGGCCAGCCTTCCCTAGGTGGTTTCGTGTTTTCATAGATTTGTTTCTCGAGGGAGGTCAGTATCAAACTAAAACAGTATGTGGGCGTCCTGCTCTGGCCAAAAGTGTGCGACTTTGTGAAAACCAGCAGGCGAGGTCAACGTGCGAGCCCTCGTTCCTCTAGGTGACGGTGCTGTTTCCCAGGTGACGTCATTCTGCACCTCACGGCGGGGCCACACTCGGTCTGCGCCCTGAGCCCTGCAACAGCAGCTACCTACCGGTGGCGGTTCCCAGCCATTGTGGCAGTTTCCTTGGGGGGTCGCGGGGGTGGGGGGGCGGTTGCTGGGCCCGTCCTGCACTGGGCCAGAAATTGACTCTCAATAAAAGGAAAAAGCATTTTTGTTTTGGTCCGGTGGCCTTTCCCTGCAATTCTCCCAGTAACTTAGCATGAATAATGAAAATGCTCTTATGTCGTATAATAGGAATTTCCTCTTCAAAGAGAATTTTTAAATGTTAGTCCCATATGAAGTTTTCTTTCCATTGTCAGTGGTGATAACTCAGCCTGTAACGTAGTTCCGATCACTTATTTGCAGTTTTTAAATCTCCACCACATACTTTGGAAGATTCGGGAATTGTAATTTTTCTATTCAAAACAGCCCATGTAAGATACACCTTGTTTTTAGTTAATTTTTCATACTTGGAGCATTCATGCCCAATGTAAACGTGGGTGCATGGTCCAGGTGAGTGGGCACAGCGGCGTGCGGGGCCTGCTAGGAACCGCTGAGCTGATTCAGGTGTGGTTTACAGAGAGAGAGCAGAGCGTTCAAGTGTGTATACATTCCTTTGCCTCATTTTGAGGTTTCTCGTGACCCTGGAGCTCTGAGAGTCCTGAAGTTAGGTCAGCACCCGCCTAGCATGCAGAGTGCAGATTCTGGGCTGGCGCGTAGCCACAGCTTCTGACGTGGCATGGAGGAGGTAGGGGTGAAGGTGCTGACGGAGGGGTGGAGGGGGTGGAGGTGACGGATGTAAACAGTCCCCTCTGCTCTGGCTGCCCGGTCAACCCTTTCGCACCGCCGGGTTTCCTCTCCGGCCCGTTTCTGATTCTTGGTGTTTCCTCGGGTTTCTTGGGTCGTTTTCTGTCAATCTATCATGGGTATGGTCCCTGAGCTCAGAAACCAATTAGAACCCTTTTTGGATACTGGTAAGATGGTGATCTTAGGAATACGTTTTTTTTCCCACTTGAGAGAAGCAGGATTCAGATCTTTTCAGTATAAAGTAGACAGACCCCCTAGACTTGAAAGTGAAGTCTCTGCGTTTAGAACTTGCTTGTCTGTAATGTGTGTGATTTTGGCTTTAGATTTGGAAAGTAATTTTAATTTATAAAAGCTTGTCTTGGGGCGCCTGGGTGGCGCAGTCGGTTAAGTGTCCGACTTCAGCCAGGTCACGATCTCGCGGTCCGTGAGTTCGAGCCCCGCGTCAGGCTCTGGGCTGATGGCTCAGAGCCTGGAGCCTGTTTCCGATTCTGTGTCTCCCTCTCTCTCTGCCCCTCCCCTGTTCATGCTCTGCCTCTCTCTGTCCCAAAAATAAATAAAAAACGTTGAAAAAAAAAAAATTAAAAAAAAAAAAAAGCTTGTCTTATATTTTTCTTTAAATCTGCAGGGTTAGAAAGGGTTTACCACCTGAGAAAACTGAATGAAGTTATTTCCAATCAACTCACTGTGCAGTGTTATTTTTTTAATAATCGATGCTATGAAATATAAAGGTTTCATATTAGCCCTTTTCCTTTTTTTACAGCTTAAAACCTGTTGCTCATGTGTATGTATCTCGTTATCAGTTTATTTTAGCTTCTTTTGGTCGTGTAATGCTTTCCTTTGGCCGAGGAGATCCCCGAATGACTTCTGATTTTGAAGGGCTCTCCTCCTTCGGGCGCGTTGATGTGAACGACGTTATCCTCTTCCCGGTACCCTGCAGCACTTAAACACGCGTGTGTGCGGACCCAAACCCAAACCAGGCTCTTGTCTGTAGTTGTGTTTTCTGGGTTTTCAGAAAGTACAGGTTCGTCCAGCGTGGATAACTTTTTTAATATTCGAGAGGCATCAGTTTTCTTAAAGAGTTAAGAAAGTACACATGTGTAAAGCTTGCAGTAGTCGTTGGAAAATATCTTTGTGGTTTAACGATTTGAGCTTTGGATGAAGTAGTCGTTTAAAAAGGAGCATCAAAGAATCTGGCATTGTGAGCAGTGGAGACAAGTTTGTTACTCCTGTTGGTAAAAACAGCTGCTTGTTAGTTTTTCAGCTGCAAAGGAATGACCTACATTTCTTACTGTTCTCTCTCAGGCGGCTTGACTTTGACCTAAGAGTGAGTTCCCATGGAACGTTCCTTAGGATGATTACATTGAAGATATAATAGCAAGTTGTTATTTAACGAGCCGTCTGTGACTTATGAATTTGGATTGATGTACAAAATATTGAGAATAACCTTCCTCTTTATGCCATTTCCTAGATGTAGTGGAACCAAAGGAGAGGGGCCAACTCGTAGCCACCCCAACAGCAGCTGAATTGTCTAAAAACTTGTCTTCACCCCGTGCTCACCCGTCAGTTGTGAGTCCGGGTGGGCTGGTAGCTGGCCCCGGCCCCGGCCCCGGCCCTGGCCCCGGCCCCGAAGGCAGCATGCTGTTCACAGCTGAAGGGGCTCCAGAGTTCCGGTCGCGAAAGACTGTCGTAGAGACGCCTCAGAAAGTTCCGTCTCCACTCAGGAAGCAGGGCACGGATGCAAAAGCTCTTAGGGAGAGCAGGGGAGATGATTCATCTTCATCGTCCTCTTCGTCCAGCTCCTCCGATTCCGACTCCGAGGGGGAGGGGGAGAGCGCCACAGCTGACCCCCAGGGGACGAGCAGGGCCAGAGGAGGGCCTCCCAGACCGCAGGCGTCCCGCCCCCTCGAAGATGGAGCCCCCAGAATCGCAGCAGTCGCCAAAGAGAAGCCCCGCTCGCCGCCGGATGTCCCCCCTCCCGAGAGGCCCCGTCCGGTCAAGAAGAAAGGGGGCACCATCAAGCCGCCAGAGGACAGAAAAGACACAAAACGCAAAACCACAACACCCAAGTCACAAGCAGATAAAGAGTCTATGAAGCAAAACGTCAAGGAAAAGCAATCCCAGAAAATTCTTAGATCAAGTGAAACCGATAAAGAAGGCCAAAAGCTGCCCAAAGCCGAAGAAGTCCTGCCTGCTCATACCAAGTCAGGATTGTCCACACAGCCGGCTGGCGGCCCAGCGCCCATTCAGTGGAGGGAAAGAACCGGAACAGCGAGACCGCCGCCAGCCGCTCCTGAGGCCAGCGAGAGACACCGGGGCCAACACGCAGCGGAGCGTGGCGGGGAGGTGGCTTTCCCCCTGTTCAGCAAAGGAAATTTGGGGGCGCAGGTGACAGAGGGAACCCTGAAGGCCTCGGGAGAGACTCTGGAAGGTCAGGTGCCAGTCCGAAGTTTGAAGCCGGTTCCTGCTCCTAGCGAAGGCAGCGATTTCCAGGACAAGGCCGCGGGCCCAGAGCCTGAGGGCGGGGCCGGGATGGCGGAAGACCCTGCCCCTCCAGGAGGGCCGGACGGCACCCAGGGTATACCTTCACTTGCGCCCTCGAGAGCCCTGCTTTCCCGGGCGGGTGGTGGGCCTTCGGAGGCCTGTGCGCCCCGAGGAGGGGTCCAGGTAGTCAGGCACCTGCAGCGCGGCCTCCGGCGGGCAGAGGACTGTGCCGGGCTCCTGGGGACCCACGCCTTGTGCGCGGCATCCCTGGGGCATTTCCTGTTTATTTTGTGGTGAAACAGCGTGCGCTTGGCCCTCCTGGCTGTCCCACGGCCACAGGGTGATGTTTCAACTCTAGCGGTTTCACGGCTCCCTTCGCTTTGGAAGGTGTCCGTGAACTTTCAGGGCCTCTGGTCAGCGGGAAGGGGGTCCTGATTCACTCCCACAGCGAAGAGCCGTGCTTACCCCTGGTGTGGGGGTTGGGGGGATACGAGGGGTGTCACTTTTAGGTTTCTTAGACCGGAGGGGAGGTCCCCATTTTGGGAAGTCCCGCAGTAAGTGACACAGGGGCAGCCAGGGGCGGCTTTAGTCTTCCTTCCGCTGGATTTACCCAAAAACACAATGGGCTGCTTTGTTTTTCCATATTGAATTTTTATGAAGGGCTATTTGCTATCACAGATTTTTAGGGTTTTATTCCTATTATGCTCCCGACTTGCGCATCGAACTTTATGAAGGCACGTGCTGTGGGCAGGTCGTGGCGAAGCCGGCAGGGCCGTCCCCGGGTTCAGAGCCGGGCCCCGCAGAGTGTCTGTAAAATGCTGTGTTGCTAACAAACCCGGCCCCTTCTTATTTGCTCCTTAGTCTTCCTAAAGCCTCTGCCTTTGCCTGACGTCCATTATGTGCTAATCGTTATTGGTTGCCTTCCGTTGACAGAATTTGTGTGTTTTCTTCCTTCCGTTTTCTCCCTCTTTCGTTAATACACAAAGTGCCAGCCTTGTCCAGACTTGGAGAATGCAGTTCCTGATGCTACAAATTGGAGACGAAAACCAAAACTTAGGATGATGACAGCAAACCATTGTTGTTTTTCTCGTACTCCCTTTGCCCTTTGGGGGGTAAGGAGGCCGCCCAGGAGCACAACCCCCGTGTGGTGTCGCTGAGCAGTCCTCTGCTCGGGTTCCTGCCCCGAGGTTCCTGCACCCACGTTTCCCTCCAGCTAACACCTTCCCTGTATCCGCCAATGTGCCTGCACCACATGGGCAGTCTCTCTGCTCAAGATCGGGAAGGTGTCAGCTCTGCATAAGTCCTCGATTTTGTGTAACACAGCCGAAGACGTGACAAACAGAGCTCTGGGTGTGAATTCAAATGGTGGAAAGTGTGCTTAGGTGATTTCCTGTGCAGCCTGGGTAGCCGTGCAGGGGCCTCCCCGCAGGCTGCGCCGTGTGCCCTTGTGCGGACGTCCCAAGGCAGGAGAGCTGCGTTCTTTTGCTTCAGCTGTGCACTTTGAGTTCTAGATCACCGAATGTCCTTTTTCCACGTGAAGAAATACAGCTTAGCTTGTACGTTTTAGCCTGAATCGAAGGTATGCCAGCAGCTTTTTCAAAAAAAGTTGAAAACTTTGCATCTCCCTTCCAGTTCCCCTTAACTTGTGACGTTGTTCAGACAGAGTCTAGTTTCGTGTATCCAGAGACTTAGAGGGCTCACCTGGCTTCTGCTTTTGAACATTTTTTTCTGCAAATAGTTCATTCCTACTCCTGTAGATCTACTTGTCTCTCTTGCTCCCTCAAGTCCTGAAAGTCCCTGCATCCTTGTCGTAGGCGTTTTCACAGCTCTGCACAGCACGGGCTGGGGAGCGGACAGAGTAGGCTGTTCAGACGCCTCGTAAGAACCAGCGGCTCCCACCGCGGCGGCTGCGAGGTTTAGAGTACGTCTTCCGCTAATTCCTTTATTTCGCGTCTGAGGATCCTGTAGCTTTCACCGGCTTCCCTAGTTAGACAGTTTATCTCAGGATGCGGGGCGCGCGGTCTCTGAGAGCTGAGCCCCGCGGGAACGCCGCCTGTCCCACGTTCTCACGGGCCTTGCGTTTCCCCCCACAGAGTCCGCTCACGCCACCAGCGCCTCCGAGCCACTGGACAGCGCCACCTACAAGAACCTGCAGCACCACGACTATACCCCGTACACCTTCTTAGACCTCAACCTGGACCTGTCCAAGTTCAGGATGCCCCAGCCCTCGTCAGGACGGGAGTCCCCTCGCCACTGAGCGCCCCCTTCAGAGAGTAACTTCCCCGTTGTCTGGGCTACAGAAATAAAATCCGCCCCGGTCGTGAGGCCTCGTGTGTGATCGGTGTCCCTCGTACGGTGAACGCTGAGCTAGCGACCCTGCTCTCTGACCATTGGTTCAACGGGCATCAGAAACATCTGTGCGCAAGGGGTTTTCCTCTCATTGTAAAGCTGGGGTCCGCCGCACAGATCGTAGCATTAGAGAGCCGTTGGGGCTTTCCATCAGCGTGTGTCCGCTGTGCCGAGTCCCTGGTCAGTTTAACGTCCGTCTGCTTTCCAGCCAGGTGCCCATACGTGTGCTGAGGACTTCTGATTTGGTAGACCTAGCTTCTGATCATCAAAGACAGGGTTTCACTGATTTTATCTCCTGTACTGCAAAGAGACTGAAACATTAGGTTCTAGCACTTTATCGTTAGAGAAGGAATGGAATCCTTTTCGTTCACCAGAATTCAGTGTTTGATGTAAACTCAGGCGGGATGGGGGGGGGTTGAAGTTTTGTGGGGCCCATCAGCAGCTCCGCCCCCGGATGGCCGCGGCAGACTCCGGACCCCTCTGCTACGAAGGGTTTCTGGGTCGGCCAGGGCTCGGGATAACGTTACTCACGCCTCGGGGCGTAAGCGGGGTGTGTCAGGCTGTGTGTTTGCACTCGCACCCTGCGGGGACGAGGTGAACTGTCTGCTTGGAGACCAGTGGAGGTGAGGTTACACCCCACCACGAGAGCGGAGGTGGGAGATGCGTCCGTTTGTCAGGGCAGAAGTCTGTCTACCCGCTGGTGTCACAGCCGTGGTTTGCTTTGTTCTCACATGGCCCTTGTTCCCGTGCCCGGACCCCAGGGCATCACCTCCCTTCATTTGCATTCTGGTCCCTGGCCTCGAGTCTGCAGCACACAGTGTGGTGCATGGAATTCTGTTCCCACGTGTCTGTCACCCTAGTATTGTCATCATCCACCTCCGAGTTTATTACCGCCGAGGGAGACGCTTGGCGACTCTGCGAGCTTCTCCTGATCGCATTGTTTTATCAGAAAAGTACCAAAGCCACATTACCCAAAAGGGAGAAAATGGAAAACCCCTAGGGCCACGGTGCCAGCCCCACAGTCACTGATGTGTCACACACCTCCCCGGTGGTGGTGGCTTCAGAGAGGTCGCCCCACGACATGCAGACGGTTCTCTCTCCTGCCGGCTGTGCCCATGTGATACCTGGCTTTGCAAACCGTGGCCCGCAGAACCTGTGCGGCGTGTGGGGCGCGGGGGGGGGGGGGCACAACCACGGTGCGTTTCCTGGACCGCACGTGCCGCAGGGGCTGGGGATTCTCCCGACGGAACGATCTGGATGAAAAAATTTTCATCTGCATGAAGTTTTTCCCTGGGAACCAGCCCTGTTAAATTATCCTCTCTCTCTGACCCCCAAAGCCCTCGCAAGCCGATGGGGGCGGTTCCCCACCAAGTGTGGTTTGGGACCCGAGCTCGTCCCCGTGCTCTCTCCTAGCGCTGCCAGAAACATCTGGGCGGCTGTAACTCCTGCCGTGTGTTGTATTGTTTCCTTAAGATGGATTTCCAGAAACCAGTCTGATGAATCGCACGTGATTCACAGACGTTGGTATTGCTTCCGCTTCCACAAGGTTTTTAAAGCAGTTTAATAGGTTCACGTTAAAGCAATTATCCCATTTCCTTTTGTATTTTCCCTGTCACCTGAACCCTGGCATCTTTCTAGACATTTGTTCTCTTACACCTGTTAACAAATAAACACCCTCAGACTGGAGGGCATTATACACAAAGCAGAAGTCCAGTCCTTGTTGTGAATTCTTGTCCTAATGTTTACTGGCAGCTGGTTAATAACTGAAACCCAGCAAATTACGGTGTGGCCTTTCTGATTCTTCCTCCAAGTATGTGCTTTGAGTTTTAACAGTCGGAGTCCTCCCACCCATCTCAACTGGCATCCGAGACCCAAGAAAGTGCCCCTCGGCTCAGGACTCGCACCCAGTGCCTTCTGGGAGCGTCCCATACCTTGCACGTAGGAAGCAATGGAAGGTTTATAAAATGAGTTCACCAGCACCACAGAACTTCCTGTGCCCTAGGGGATGAAGTGTGACACATAAACAATACAAAGCCATTTCTTCCGTTAAAGCAGCATTAACACACTCCCCGCGAAGGGCCAGATAGGAAATATTTCAGGGTTTGCCACATGCAGCGTTGAACAGTCTTTTTCTGTCTTTTACATCCCTTTAAAAAATGTTAAACCCGGGGGTCCCTGGGTGGCTCAGTCAGTGAAGCGTGTGACTTCGGCTCAGGTCACAATCCCGTGGTTTGTGGGTTCGAGCCCCACGTCGGGCTCTGTGCTGACAGCTCGGAGCTGGGAGCCTGCTTTGGAGTCTGGGTCTCCCTCTCTCTCGGCCCCTCCCCCACTCATGCTCTGTCTCTCAAAAATAAATAGACATTAAGAAAAAATGTTTAACCTATTCTTGGCTGTGGGCCTTATGCAATGGCAGAGAGCAGGGTTTCCTGAGGGGCCCCAGATTGAAGGGGTTGCTTTAATAAAAAGGCTGATGGGGTGCCCGGGTGGCTCAGTCGGTTAAGCGTCCGACTTCGGCTCAGGTCATGATCTCACGGTCCGTGGGTTCGAGCCCCGCGTCGGGCTCTGTGCTGACCACTCAGAGCCTGGAGCCTGTTTCAGATTCTGTGTCTCCCTCTCTCTCTGACCCTCCCCCGTTCATGCTGTGTCTCTATCTCAAAAATAAATAAACGTTAAAAAAAAATTGAAAACAAAAATAAAAAGGCTGGCTAGGGGCACCTGGGTGGCTCAGTGAGTTGAGTGTCCAACTCCTTGATTTTGGCTCGGATCGTGATCCGTGGTCATGGGATCGAGCCCTGTGTCCAGATCTGCACTGAGTGTGGAATTTGCTGAAGATTCCCTCTCTCTCTGTCTCTGTCCCTCTCCCTGCTGCTCACACACTCTCTGTCTCTCAAATAACAAAAGTAACAAGGGCTGTTTCAGGTGCTCACCACCCTTGGTTCTACCCCCTCCCGCCCTCCTCTCCTACCTTTATTCCAGCAAGGAGTTGAAACAAAGAATAGGGTATAAAAGTTAACAGTTAAAATGGCGTTCCTTTCAGAGCAATGTCACTCTCGCGGGCCTATAGTCAACACGGGTCTAGATGCCCACCGTATGCCAGGCCTGCATCTGGGCCGTGGGGTCAGAGACGGTGGGGACGGACGATCTCTCCCAAGTTTCCAGCCTTGGGAACGAGGCACGTGGAAGGCCTGGCAAGGTGGTGTGCCACGTCTGGTAGCAGAGGGGCTGTTTGGGGCTGGGTGTTGACCCGAGAGAGCTCCGTGGGGCAAGATGTTTAGCCCAGATATTGCCAGGTGACCAGGAAGTCCCCAGGTGCACAGGGCAATGGTGGGGAGACCCTCGGCGTGGTCTTCGAGGTGTCAGGGTGGGGGGGTCCATGCAAAGGCCCGGACAAGGACATCACTGGAGGTCACGGTTTGGGAGGGGACGTGTAGCGAGGATGGGGCTTGGGCTCTGTGTTAGGCAGCTCAGCCACCATAACAAAACACCACAGCTGGGGGGGCTTAAACAACAGAAGTGTCCATCTCTCGGTTCTGGAGGCGGACGTCCAAGATCAAGGTACTGGCTGATGCAGCGGGTAAGGTTCTTCCTGGCTTGCCGATGGCCACCTTCTCGCTGTGTCCTCACACTGCAGAGAGGGGGCGAGCGCGTTCTCTGGAGTCTCTTAATAGGACCCTAACCCCAGCTTGAGGGTCCCTCCCCGGCTCATGCTCTCTCTGTCAAAAATAAACATTAAAAAAAAATCAAAAAGTTTTAAAGTTTATTTAGAGAGAGAGCATGAGTAGGAGAAGGGCAGAGAGAGGGAGAGCAAGAATCCGAAGAAGGTTCCGCGCTGTGAGCATAGAGCCCAATTTGGGGCTTGATCTCACAAACCTGTGAGATCACGACCTCAGCCAAAATCAGGAGTCCCACACTTAACCATCTGAGGCATCTAGGCACCCCTTAATGAACGCATCTAAACTTAAAAAGTAAATTTTATTGGACATGCATTTCTAAGTTTTTTTTTAATGCTTATTTCTGAGAGACCGAGTGTGAGCAGGGAAGGGGCACACAGAGAGAGGGAGACACAGAATGCAAAGTAGGCTCCAGGCTCTGAGTTGTCAGCACAGAGCCCGACGCGGGGCTTGAACTCACAAACCGAGAGATCATGACCTGAGCTGAAGTCGGACACTTTGAGCCACCCAGGGGCCCCTGGACATGGATTTCTTAGTGAAGTGTAGTGAAACTATTTTTTTTTTCAGTTCCTAAATCCATGAATGAATATTATTTAAGTCTAGAAGGGGTTCAATGAAAATTAACAGAAAAAAAAAAAAAAGGAAAGAAAGTATAAACCAATTTTTGAGGACGGATTCAGGTTTCGTGGGGCCTGAAGCTATGAAATTTGGCAAATTTCTTTTAATAAAAATAATGTAGACTTAATTCAAAATCAAGGGGCACCTGGGTGGCTCAGTTAAAGCGTTTGACTTTGGCTCAGGTCGTGATCTCACAGTTCATGAATTTGAGCCCTGTGTCAGGCTCTGTGCTGACAGCTTGGAGCCTGGAGCCTGCTTCGGATTCTGTGTCCCCCTCTTTCTGCCCCTCCCCCACTCACACACACACACACACACACACACACACACACTCTCTCTCTCTCTCTCTCTCTCTCTCTCTCTCAAAAATAAACATTAAAAAAACTTTTTTTTAAAAGAATTCAGAATCAAACGTGAAAGTGGATGTTATAGAGAATGAAAAAAGTTGCTTACAAATTTTAAAAGTTGGTGGATACTATAAACCTCACAAAATCCAGAAAGATAACATATTTTAATTAACCACTTGACACGCTTCTATGTGTCAGGCAGCTAATAGAAACATAACATTGGCTGCTACGTTTGATTGCTTCTTATGACAATTTCATAGCACTATTTTGCTGGCTATGAAGATAATGCCATCTTTCCTCCTGCGCGGTTGGTTGAAATTTGGTTTTTTGGTGGTTTGGATGCACAGACGTGTGACCACACACAGATGTCTCTGCTGTTTGTAGTGAATGCTGATAAACTTTATTTCACATGCTCCTATCAAAAAGGGGAAAGTAAGGCCCATGTTTAGCTGCTTCTGCTACGCGAGGAGGACGCTCTCGACAGAATTCCATCTGTCCCGTTACGGATGGAAACTGAATCCTCTGATGGGAGTTTTCCTGATTGAAAGGATTCTCTAGGGCACCAGGTGGCTCAGTTGGTTAAGCGTCCGACTCCGGTCCCAGCACAGGTCACGGTCTCCCAGCTTGTGGGGTCAAGCCGCGCATCGGGATCTGCGCTGACAGCAGAGAATCCCAAATGGATTCTCTCTCTCTCTCTCTCTTTCTCTCTCTCTCTGCCTCTTCCCAGCTCGCTCTCTCTGTCGCTGTCTCAAAATAAATAAAAGAAAGAAAGGATTTCCCCCCGAGTAGCTTCTGTTCCATGCACTTCAAAACCCGCCCTCACCCACAGCTACTCAGTGCCAAACCCCTCCGGACCTGGCCGCGTCACGTGTTTGTGGCCACACTGCATGTTCACAGCTAGGCCACACGTTCCTGGCCACGTGACATCAGCACAGCAATGTCCGAAATCTCATGGTGTCCATACCACGGGATCCCCTATGTCGCCACCTGCACATCCGAGTGCCTGGCAATTCCGCTCGGTGGAAAGCAGGAGTGTGCCCGGAAGCCGGTCCACACCAGACAGCACCAACCAGGGAAGTCACTGTGAACCCCCAACCACATCCCACCAAACCCAAACTAAGCGTACCCCTGGGGCGGGTCCTGACGTGCTCCCAGCCACTCCAGCGCCTGTGAGAGACGAGCTGGGGTGGAAAGAGGATGTGGTCTGAAGCTATTGTATTCAAATGTCTCACTTTTGCAAATTTGACACCTTGTGACCACAAGTGGGGATCCCTAGCTGGATCCCCACCTGGCCCTGGATCCCCAGGGAGGGGCCTGAAGCTTGTCCCTGTGGCCCCATAGGAGCTCCCCAACATTGGGCAGGAGTTAAGTGTCCCCGCTTAGTGATTGGCCTTCGCGGTGGCCAAGTGCATCGACACACTAAAAGCCACCGCACTTCCCCACGACGTTGACCTAAGTCTAACCGGGACCTGCAGGCAGGAGCGAGCGACACCACCGATGAGTGACAGCAGGCAAGATCGCCCACCCAAGAAGCGAGTGTGGGTTGATGGCATCCAGTCCTCGGTTGGCAAAAATCGCTGCCCGTGTTTTCCCCACAAGTCCGGAGAACCCACAAAACGTGCAGTCGTCTCCAGCATGTTTCTTTACTTGAGGATGTTCCCTCGACCCGTCAGAAGTCAGCGTGGGCTTCAGCCCGTCTCCGCGAAACCCCAGAGAACGTGCAGCTGAGACCTGGCCGGCGCGTGCGCTCGTCACGTGCTTCCTCGTGGTGAAACTTGCAGAAGAGGCCGGCGTTCCCAGCGCACTTGCTGCAAATGTCGAGTATTGGTCGAGTTCTGTGATAGCCAGACAGCGCCGCGAGGGCATCGCGGCCTCGGGGGTTCTTCCTTGTCTGCTCTGCTGTCTGAGGACCCCCTCCTTCTCCCTAACGCGAGGTGCCAGAGCCCCAGCCGCCTCTGACGGCTCCTCTCACTGCCCCGGCCCCAGATGCGCGGCACCCCGACGCAGGGGTGTAACACCACATCCTATTCTTAACAGAAATGCGTACCTAAGACCAGGGAAGACAGAGC